TCGATGCATCTCAGCGTGCTGGCATTGAAAGTGCTCAAGTATAGGTATATCATGTTGTAGAATATTCAAAGCCATTTGATGGATACTTTGTTTTGAGGTATGATACCTTTTGTTGTACCTGAATTTTAGATCATAGCGCGGCAGAGAAATGGTAACTGTTAATCCATTGACAGTGTTGTGATTTGTCTTTCTGTTTTCGCCATCAAAATCAACTGAAATGATGGTTGGCTCTAATGAGGTCAGAATATTTTTGTACTATGGTGAACCCTCCGTCATTTGAATGCTTGTAATTATGAGCATGGTGGTCAGTTGATGTGCCTATGTTTCCTCGTAACCAGGCGCTCACCTTGGGCGAAACATTTAAACACATCAGCGATGCTTTCGCGCTCTAAATTAGGCACGACTTTGGGTCGCCCTAATTTTTGGTTGAATTCGTGTAGAAGAATTTAAAAAAATAACGTTTGCCTCAACCGCCGTTTTGACGGAGCTTTAAGGTTGAAAGCCTTACAGAGCTCCAGTTCTCTTTAATGATTAGATAAACCACGAAAGTGAGGTCACTATCAGCATACGGAAGGATTCATGATGATGGGATGCTTCATAGAGTGGCTTTGCATACAAAACTAAAAACTGTATACTGAGGGGGTGGTGTCGAAGGATGCGCAGAAAAGAATGTCAACTTCGCTGGCTTCGTATAGGTTTTTGTGTCAGTCGGAAGTTTCATTTACGAAGCGTCGATTTCGTATCCCATTACGATGGCAAACTTCGGAAGGCTACTGGGGTGAATGGAGGATCGTGTTTCAACTCAGTAAGCCGTCTTCGTACGCAAAATTTCATCTAAAGTCAAACTTCCAATTATTGTTCATTTGTAGTCTTTCTTTTACCTGTTAGGAAGTGGTAGAATTCATCCTGCTTGAGTAGTCATTTGTCCGCGGGAATTGTAGTAATATTTGTAGTACCTCGGAGCTTCTCCGAAGGCGAAATATATAATGCTAAGGCAGAATATGTATTGGCGATGTTTGGTGGGGTCAGAGAGTTCGCTTGAATGAATCCGAGACTATGCTGATTAGCTTGAATACAGAGTTCGTTTGTGTCATCGGATTGAGTAATGGAAC